GGAAAAGCGTTTGCTTACAAAAAATTGATAAAACTTTCAAAAAAATGTTTTAAATTATTTTTTCTTTCATTTTTTATGCGGAAATTATCTCTGCACACGCTAAGTAAAGCAAAAAATGAATCTTTTATCATTTGCTTAAATTTTAAAAAGATCAAATAGCATACCTAAGTTCAGTTTGCAACAACTTCTAAACGAATTAAACTTCTGCTTACACGTCAATAGCACAAATATTATTGCGCGTTTTTTATCCCAAATTGGCAATCTTTATAGCCCCCACAACTTTACGAAAAGTGATCACTGGTAAAATTTTGTTTTAAAATTTAGCTCGGGAGAACAAAATTTTGTCAAAAACTAAAATGGCTAGTTAAAATTCGAAATTTGCCTGGAGAAATAAAACCACTCCGAGAACAAATATTCCGTCACTTTCTCCGAAAGACGGAACTACAAAAAATTTACGCTCGTAATAAAGTGAAGCGTTTATTGTTCCCATTTCTTTCAAATTGTTTAATTGAAGATTTTCCTTCAAATGAAAAATTCCTTCAATTTAAATCGGTAAGAAAATTGAAGCAGAAGGTGTTGAAACTTTGAAAACACTTCTACCACAAGCAACATCAAATAATGGGATTATCAAATGGCGACTGTTTACAAGCTTATGGACAAACAAGTCTGTGCTGTGTACAATTAAGGCAAACCCTGATTTTTCCGATTGCCTCTTAATCTATATGGAATATTTTTTGGAAAAAAGATTGAAAAATTATAAATTTTGAGCAATATCAAAAATCAAGTGTGAAAAATTGCGTTGTACGAAACTACAACGACCAATTGGCCTCAAGTCAATTTGGAAAAACTTTGTTGGGCAGAGTTATTCGCCCTTTATAAGCAATTCGCGTTTGCAATTTCAGCATTATGAAAGTCTTCTAAGCGCACATAAATTAGTCCAGAGCATGGCCAAGTTGGCAAAATCCAGGATGGCCAAATTGGCAAACTTCAAACTCACAGAGCTTTGCAAAAACAATTGTAGGTAAAATAACTTTTAAAGTTCATTTCAAGGGCCATATTTTGAATTGGGTATAAAAATTTTTGAGTAAAAAATATTATTTTGATTGCCAAAAATTGACCGAATAAAAAAACATCCCGAGCAGAAATATTCCGTTTTTTAAAAAAAAAAAAAATCGGAACAAAAAGTTAGCGTAAACTCAATTGGGGAAAAATGCAGTCCTGCAGAGTTTGCTTTTTATGCGTTGATCGTCATAGGCAAATTGGAACAAGGACAGTTGGTTATTGTGCAAGTAGCACAGAGTGTTCTGACCACAGTCTTCGAAAAATACAAAAAAAAGAAAACTTTTTTTACAAGTTGGTGTCGTTGTTTTCTGCGTGGTGTGATAAAAATATCTGAACAAAAAAAAATTAGGACAAAATTGACAATCATAATATAAAAAAAGCCATTCGGAATACTGCTTCTGGAAGAATTGGCCAGAAAAACTAAAAAAAAAAATTAAAAAAATTGATAAAAAACTTCAGAGATTTTTCAACATTTTTTGCAGAAAGTTTGGGATTCTATAAAATTTTTTTACCGAATGGCGCTAAAAACTCCAAAAACTACTTTATTTGAGTAAAACGAAGTTTTCACGGCTTAAAGTACGCTTAAAGAAGCTATTGTAAGCATAAACGCTCACACCATATTAGTTCAAAATCAGACCAAAAATCAAAATTTTCAAACCAGTTTTTCTCGACACTGTGAAAAAATTTTTGATAATTATCCAATATTTTTTGTGTTACCTAATTTTGCGTGGAAAAAAAATAAAACACACCCGAAGACGAGGTTCCTCCCCAGCTTTCAAATGGTCGGAACAATGAACATGTCAAAATTGCTAACATTTAGTTTTGGTGGGCCAAATCAGCAGTTTATAAACAACCGATGATTTACAAGAAAAGTAGCTGTAAAAACAGTTTGACTCATATTAATTTTTTTTCAAGGCAATTTTCTAATAGCTCACTTTTAAAATTATGCTACTTTATAACTTCGGCTTCTGTGTTTTCTTTTTACTATTGATGCATTCACCCTCAAGCTATAAAAAATGCTTTACCCATTCACCCTGCCATTAAAAACCCATTCGCCCTGCTATAACTTATTCGCCCTGCCATAAAAAAATGCTTTACCCCATGTATGGCTAAATATTTCATTTTAGCCTCCTTTGTAGATTTTTGCCAGCCTAAGTTTAAGAAAAATCTATAGACCCATTGCTGTCAAACAAAAAAGTGTATCGTTGTTTTTAAAATGTTTAAAAGTTGAAAGTTTAAGAACTGTCACAAAACCAGTGCTGTGGCAAGGAAATTTTAGTGACGTTGATTTTCAATGGCCTGAAAACAAACTGGTCAATTGAATCTACCCAACAAAATTAGCTCGAAACTAAATGGAAATTTAAAGAACGGTATAAGTTCTTGTAATCCAATTTGTCATCTTTTACCTCGTCTTCTCCCTAAATGAATGGCCAATTTTAGTTTTGTTTAGACCATAGATTGCAAAAAAAAATTTATTAGTTACAATTTTTTTTTAAATTTGTCACAGCCGGTGTAAAAGAATACCTTAACTAACGCTACGACGAACACCCACGAGAAAGAATTATAATATTTATAGTTTTAAGCGTTTCAAGCTGCAAAACTATCCACGTTGAAATGTTAATTAGACAAAAAAAATCGATCAGACTTTCCGAAACTGGTATTTGTCGGAGATTTTCTGTCAGTCTTTTGAACAGCAAGGGGTTCGATTTCCTGACCCAGCAAATGGTTTTGCTTGGGTATTACTTTACAAACTTTATGTAAGCTCAACCAACTTCACTGTTTTTCTTGCCATGTTGCAATGAACTTGAGTGAGAGCCCGTGTTTTAAATTACTGGTTACGGGGGTTATTTAAATTGTTCCGATGACGAACACAGAAGGCTAGTACAAAATTTGTTTATGATCAAGCATACTGAAAAGGTGTTCAATCATGCGGAATTTTTTGGTTTTTCAGTTATGAAACAGTTGAAGTGGAGCTAAATCTACTACTATAGAGAAGGGAGCTCAAATTTTTTTTTAAAAAAACTTGCAGTATAAAAAGCAACTGTTACAGCTCGTTTTATTTGCTTAGTTAGTTTAATTTTGTACTAGCATAATTTAATGCAATTTCTTATAAAACTTTTTTTGTGTGGAAGATTAAATTATCTGAAAGCTACCACGGGGTTTTTGATTATACTGTTCGTTTCTCGACAACTTACATATTTTATTATATCAATGTTTTATTTGCTTTGCTAACAAGTTTAATTATGAAAAAAAGTCTATAAAATTATTTTCTTTATTAGCTAAGAATCTTTAAAAAAATTTTCCGACAACTAAAACAGGAATAATTGCAAGATACTGATCGACAGGAGCGGATCTAAGAATCTATTTTTTTTTTTGGTTAGTACTCAAAGTTGGCTTTTTTAGTTTCTACCTGGGCTTTAAATTTACAACTTTGCATTTCAGTTTTCAACTAGGCCTTTAAATCGAGAGGCGGTAGATCGAAATTGTCTTTTGGTCGGAAGCGACAAAACGCACTGGGCGATAGATTAGACCAGGCGATGAATTCTTACAGTAGATTGTCAGTGCCCATTTTTGGCACAGTATAGCGAAGCGGAGCCAGTGGTTGCTATTTTCCAATGGGCAGGTATGAATTATCGCAATTTCTTCTCGATGTGCTATTTTTCCAGAGTGTTTTTTCTTCTCAATTTTGTCTTATTCAAGAAACCCTCGAAGGGGGGATCAAGTGTGATATCATATTAACGCCCTCTTGGTCTTGATCCGGATTTTTCAAAATCGAAAAAGTCGGATTTTTAAAACTCGTGTCAAGAAAAACATGTATGAATATTTTCGATTTTCAGACTAAATAAGGCCAAATTTGCTGAGATGTTGACGTCACAACTTAAACTCTACTGAAATTTCTACGCTTTTTCTCAAACTTTATTTACTGCTCTTGGTGAATGACAAGGAGACGGGTCTGATCCAGTCTATGAACTAGACAATTATGAGAGACAGTAAAGCAAAAAAGCAGGAGCGAGGCACCTAAAAAGAAGAAATTTATTAGCCAAATATTAAATCACTATTTGTTTATTTGTTACAGCAGCTAGTCTTAATTTCTTTCGATTTAAGGGCAAGCAAGTTGTGAAACAATTATTCGTTTACCACCAAAATGCCTTCGATTTGTTTGCTTAGCTCGTTATTATGTTAAGTTCACTGTCTAGATCAGACCCGTCTCGTTGTCATTGACACTGCTCTTTTTGTTCCGACTTTCGATACAAAAGTAACGGTGTAATTGTGCTCGGGGTGGGTTTTTTGTTCTTCAGACAAATTTCGACTTTTTAACTAGCCATTTTTGACGGAATTTTTTAATATCATTCAAAAGGTTTTGTTGTCCTGAACTTAAATTTGAAAAGATATTTTACCTGTGATCATTTTTTGTCAATTTATGGGGGTTCAAAGATTGGAATTTTGGCCGAACTGGGACAATTAACGCGCGATATATTTTGCGCTATTAACATGTAAGCGGAAATTTAATCCGTCTTAGAAATATTTCCATATTGAGTGAAGGAGGCTTATTTGACATAATTGATTTGTTGATAGGAGCAAAATTTATAACTTTGTAGACTATGTGGCGCGTGGGGGATGATTTCCACCAAAAACCTCAATTGTTGAAAAAATTCATTTTATTTTATTACATTTACTTTTTCACGTTATCACTGATTCAGAGACCTTAAAAGGTAGTCGGAACATTCAGGGCCTCGTCCTGATATGAACAATCTTCTTTGCTTTTTTGTTTCTTTCAGCTAATTCAACCACGTTTCTCGAAAAAAAAAATCAAAAAATATATTTAAACAACAATTGTAAGAAAAGTTGATTTTTTTCGATGTTTTATTAAATTCTATGTTTTTGAATTCTTTTCTTATATCAATTTGGTCGGATCATTCTGTGCAACTTGCACAACCGGCTCTGCTTGTTAGATTATGGCTTGATATTAACACTAATGCGTCTTCGTTTAGCACATTTCGACTTACTTTTGTTAAATGGCTTCAAGCTATTTGAATTTGGGTCACCATATTTTCAGATTCCCAAAGGCTTGATATCCGTTTCGGCAGATGCATTTTTCAAAGTAAAAGGAAATGAGAGTCGACAAAAGAATAAATTATATTTTTTTCACTTGAGTAAATCACTTTTTAGCTTTCTTGTTTATTTAACAACTGTATGCGCTCAAAATCTTTTCCCAATCCATCTTCACCTTCATGAAAAAATCGTTCCTTATTTCCCGTTCCACTTAAATTGGATTTGAAATGGTTACCTTTTAAGGACAGGAACTTAAAAAGAAACTCTCCTACAAATAAAATGACAAAAAATTGAATAAATACATTTGTTTTCATTTCTGAACAAACTCATTATTATTTCAAAAATGGGACAAAAAATGGAGAATTACAGTAAACGCTTCCCAACGATTTCAATGGGTGCATGTCTTCATCCTGTTTTTAAAAATGTTTCCCACCAAATTGAGTTGCTATTCAAAAGAGGAGAGCAAACCTTAATTTACATATAAATCTACTCTCCCCGAGAGAAACTTGAACATTCATTACCTCCGTTCTATTTACTTGATAAAAAATAAATTGGAGATGGCGTGATCGAATTATTCCTTTTTCACTTTATTCAAACTTACCGATTGGTCCGTAAGTTTGGGCAATTTTAAAACTGTTAACGCCTTAAAGTTCGAACGCCCTGTCATATTCCGTTTGCAGAAAAATTGATCTTAAACTTCACAATATAATCATCTAGTTGTTGGATTGAAACGAATTGCAGTAATGTCTGTAAAAAGTTTTGGTTCCGATTTTTCAAAAGACATGACGAAATATTTGTCTTTTAAGGATTTTTTATTTTTTGTTTTTCCTCTGAAGGATTTTGACTTTTAAACTATCTGCTATCAAATTTTTTCATGTTATGGCACTCCGATCTAAAAATTCACGGGTGGTCGTTTTTTGTGCATTTATCAAACTTGATAAAAGCAATTTAAAAGCAATTTCTTAATTTTTTGTTATCGCGTAGCGTACGCGGCGAATCAATTCGGCTCAAAAATCATTCAAAATTGTATTGACACCAAGTAATTACGTATTGAAGGGCTACTCCCTGGGTGTAGCAGCCATTTTTTTTACTATTAATCAAAGTTGGGAATTTTTAGGGTCTGATTCAGGGGCGGATCTAAGATTTTCTCGAGGGGGGATTTTCAAAAAAGTTTCGAAAATTTTGTTAACCTTTTTTGGTAGGCCGACCATATTGAGTTTTTGAGCTCTCTTAAATCAATATACAGACCTTATTTTCACAAACAGGCCAAAAAAGGCAAAGGAGTCTTAAGAAAATTTTTTGGGTCAGTCAGCCGAAAATGGATATTTCAAAATAGTACAAAAGGAGAGCCTTGGGTTTATGAGCAGTTAAAAACGGAGTTATCTGAAAAAAATACAACGAGCATAGCCATTCCGTTATTGTATCCAGAAGTCATTGCCCGCGTTATTGTTTTTTGGTTTTTTTTGCAGAAATAATTGGGATATTTATTTCAATATAGTTTCAATATAAGCTGTTCAAAATATGGAATTATCTGCGAAAAAAAACACAACGAGCATAGTCAGACCCCTTCCGTTATTGTCTCCAGAAGCCATAAAAAAGTTTTCATTGAGTTGCATAAATACTCTGTGAAGAGGAGCAGTACATTATAAATAGTGATTAAGTTTATCCACTTTTTGGTACAAATATCAAAAAATTGAACTTGTCTTTTTCATCGAGCGCGACTTTAATTTGTTTTCTCAAGGTTATCCCTCTGTCTTTATTGACAGTATCGAAATATGCAAACCGCATTTAAGTTTAGTTTTACATTTTTGGAACAATAGAAACCAAATACCATTGGAAAAAAAAAGAAATTTTCAAACGTAAGTTTACAAAATTGTTTGTAAAACCTATTTTTATAAGTTTCAAAAGTTAATTTTTTATAACAAACTTTTTCTTACTTTATAAGTGCAATCAAATTTTCCTTAATTTCCGGGTACTACAAAGCTCCAAACTTGAGACACAAAAGTTACAGATTTGTCTATAATATACAGTTATATTATAGAAATTTTTAGCTTTTAATAAATTTTTATAGATCTCCATGTTCAGAGTTGCTACTTTTCGTTTTTTTTTGCAAAAACTTGGCCATTAATTTGATCATAAAATGTAAAAGCACAATAGTTTATCCATAAGCTGTTTTCCACGTTGTTTTTTTTTTCTAAACAAACAAAATTCATTAAACTGAATGTTGTCGTCGAGTCTTCATGTTAGTCTATTTATGGGTTCTGTTTTTCCTATATTAAAGTTAGGTCGCGAAGACCAAAGAAACATCCTAATTGCACTCAAATGTCAAATCTGTCAAGATTAGCTTCCATTCTTGACTATTGCTCTATATGATTTCCTGAGAAGACGACCACCCGTTATTAAACCATAAGCACTTACTGGGCTTACCCTTCCCTTTGTAACGCCGAAAAGTACTTAGACCGGAAGCAATTTCCCCGTAGCGTGAAATAATTTAGAGTTACGCTATTAAAATGAATCAAACTATAACTCAAAAATCAAATTTAAAAGCACATTTTTATTTGATCACGTGAAACGGAAATAAAATATGGCTTAAATTTAGAGCTTTTTCTGAGAAAATTTTCGTAATCTGTCAAACCAACCCTCGCATATTGTTATAATTATATTACAATTCCTGTAAAACTGCGCTGATATGCATAGCCATAGGTACCTTTGATGTGTATATTTGCTGTGTCCTTTTACTTTAGCCATACTTTAAAGTAATCTGATAAGGTTCAGCTACCCAAGACGTAAACTGAAATACGGAGGAGGTACCATTATTATATTTGATATAGAGAATCAATTATACAAACTAGAAACAGCAAATATACCTTCATTACAACTGGGTAATGACGTTATCGTAGCATGTGAGATATAAATTCAAAGGGGAAAATTTAAAATTGGTACAAAAATTGGGTATGGTAATAATACTCTTTCATTTTGGTTTTGGGCTGAAATAGGAAATAGCTATTATACTTTTAACTCTAGGAATTCCACACAGATGATATGCTTGAGGGCATACTATTTTTGTTAATTTTATAATTTCATTATTTTTCCGCCCCGCTTACTTATAACCCGATTTTCGTTACCACTTTGACCACCTGGGATTTTAATAGTAAAAATATAAACTTTTATTGAAGCCCTCAAGAATCGCAAACTTGTTGAACTTTTTGCGAAGATCTATTTTATGGGCAGTTAAAATATGTCAGCCAAGTGTTTTTGATCTAGATTTAATACGTACCGTATGTGGCGTTGACGTTTGGAAAAATACCCATAATATTGTTAGAGACTACAACTTCCGTTTTCAGTTGATTATCATTCTTCACAAACGATTTTACCGAATAAAAGCTATCTCATTAGTAAAAAAAGCCCGTACGAATTGCTTATTTTTTTGTGCCATATCATTCAATTTTAAGCTTTGTTTTATAACATTCAGTTATTCTCCTGAGCTCTCAAAAATTGCCTTTTTTACAACTTTTATGTTTAGCATTACTTTTGAATCTCAGGATTTACAACAGGGATTCTTTAGTACTAAATCCGCCGACCCAAATCGATATTTTATCTTTTTTGCTCGAAGCGAAATTGCATAGACGTTTTGGTTTGTTTTTACAACATCAATTGTAAAGTAACATCATTCAGTAATGACTTCAAAAGACTTCAAAGATTCTTCGCCCAAGTCAAGTTCAAAAGCGCCCCTGATTGTAACGATAAGCAGCCCCTCTTTTAACAGCACTGATATTTCTATTTTACCACTTACGAAAATGTCTGAAAGCACTGAAAGCTTCCAGAGTCCTTTCGCCGAACTAAGTTTTGAAAATTACCAATCGAAGTTTAAAAAAGATTCATTATCTCACATTTCTCTAGATTCTAGGTCGAATTTATCAGCGAGCTCCAACAAAAATAGCAACGAAAACAGTGATTGTATAAGTATTGCATCTAATACAAGTAGTGGAAGTAATTGTACGAAAAGGAGTCCTTCAATTTCGTCCGAAGTTACACCATTTCCGACGCCAGTTCACTCTTCTCACAGTCCGAATAAAACGATTTACCACAACACGCCTTTCGCCCGAACTGCGTCTGGCTCGAGGTCCATAAAACGACAGTACCCAGCCATTCCTTATTGGTTTATCAATTTATCAGGTAAAACATAAATTGCGTCGAGTTAATATTTTCGTTGCGACGTATATTTCGAAGATTCAGAAGGAACTATGGCCTGGTCTGCCTTTTTCTCTGGTGATTCGAGGGTACTAATTTTGCTCAGCACTTGCGCAGCATAAAAATGTTTTCTAAATCAAAAAAGTGTTTTTAGTCTATTCTTACTTAATTTAACACTGTGTCGCAAAGCATTATTTTTTGATTGACTACAGCAAGTTTTTGAACAAATAAATGAGTCTACAAGGTAAGTGTTGTTGTTATGTCAATTATTCCCTGATTGGACACATCGAACAAGTTTGTAAGTTGTTATGTTGTTAACATTTGAGAACCTTTTTGTTCCGACTATCGAAGAAATTCACGGAATAATTGTTCTCGTGGGTTTTTTTTCTATTGACAAACTTGGCTTAACTTAACTTAGGAAAAAAAGGTAAAGCGTAAGCGGATATTTATTCCGGTTCAAAAATTGTCTAAAATTGAATAGAACATTTTAGTTGTTTTAATAAAGTTGAAAACTAATACTAAAAATATCACTTCGTATTTTAAACGGCATGTAGGAGTTTAACTCTCTAAAAAACTCAGTCTTAGAGAAGTTCAACCCGAAAACACTCAATCCAAAAAACTCAAAAACAAAATCTTTCTCTGTCCAAGGATTTCAAAAAAGGATTTCAAGAAGACAGCTAGTATAGGGCAGATCCTTGAATTTTCTGTCTGTTTGCCAAATTCAAAGATAAAATCAACTTTTTAAGTCGTTTTTAAATGGATAAACACTCAGTTAAAGATAGAGAAAAATATTGATTTTTTTTCAGATTTTTTTGAATAAATCCTTCACGCTATTCAAAGTACAAAATGATGAAATTGGTGTCTAGTAGCGTAATAGTAGTTTTAAAAAGTCTAAAAAATGGAAACCATTTCCGAAGCAGTTTTACTTGCCGCTTTCACACTGCCATTATTTTTCAAGAAATTGGCGCCAGTACTTTTCAATCAAAAATTTTCAAGTACAATTTTTGGTGGAAAAGAACACATTGAGATTAAATTGGTGGTTAAATTTGATTTGAAATTTTGAGATGTTCAATTTTTGAGATGTTAAAGAAAAACGTTTAAATTATTTATTGCACAGCAACCGATTCTTCCTTTGTTTTTTAAGACTTAATTGAAGAAGTAGAGTGAGACTGACAAACATCGCGCACATTTTGATCAATTACCTTGGGTTTTCTTGCAAGTTCTTGCTAGATTAGTTAAAATAAGTTGCATCTCTTGCAGAATTCTTGCAAAGTTCTTGCAAAATTTAGCAAGATACGCCATTTTTAAGATAGCCGTTTTAACCAAGCAAACTCTTTAAATATTTGATATTTGGTAGGCACGAAATGCACGAGTCAGCTTTACGCACGAAGGAAACCTGTGGTGTTTGTGTAAAAAGGAAACAATACGTTTAACAATTGATAAATTTCAAATACTAATCGACAAAAATGAAAAATAGAAAATTGTAATCGTACAATTTAAGGTGAACATAAGATCTAACCGTATATATCTTTTGGTAAATTTTAATTCAAAATGCATAATTTAAAATCACAACCTGATATTTTTGTCAATGCTAAAGCTGAAAGTTGTGCATGTACAAGAAAATTTTTAAAACTTGGTCAATTTAAATTTCTGTTGGTGTTTAAACTCAGAATTCTTTGTTATTTTTGTCAAATTGGATCTCCATAGTGTTTTACTGGCTCTAAAAAAAGTTTATGATGAAATAATTGCAAAAATTTCGCAATATTGCAAAATAATTCTTCTTAATGTCTGCGCGCAAATTGTTGCCAGAAAATGTTTTTATTATGTTCTTCATTGAGTTCATGGCAGGTAAATTTTTGTTTGAAAAAAATTTTGCTGTTGTTTTTTTTCTGGAAACTTCGGAATAGTTTCGGGAAATTATACAATCATATGTACTTTCGCAACACAAAGCTCCAGCAAAAAACCTTTTGGAAAATATGAACGAAAATTTAATTGATACCTGAGTTTTAAAAATAAGTTGAGCTGGTTTGAATAGAACTCAATACCTCATTGATTAGAATAGAAATTTCACAAAACATAAAGAGCTTCTTTTCAAAGTTTTTTTTCTGGCTCAGTTTTAGTGATTTACTTCAAAGCAAAATTTCAATTTATTTCGCAATTTTTACACTGAATGTTTCGATTAGATTTTGGTATTTGAATTGCGAAACTCTAGCTAGCTTGTTAATTTTTTGAGGCTTGTTAATAAACTGCAAAAGAAGAAGAGTTGAGCAAAATCAGAGCTGAGTTCCTTCTATTTGGGAATGTGTTCTAAACTATTCCAGTTCAAGCTATAAAATTGAGATTGCTAAGCAAAACTTTGAACAAAATTAAAACGATCCGAAATCGCTTTAAAAAAACTTTACCGATCCTTACAAAAGATTTAAAAATTTACTTCGATCAATTATTGTTTTTATGAGTTAAGGTATATTTTGATTCTTTTCTCATTTTGTTGTGTGAACCAGTGTTTTCAAAAATTTTTATCATACAGTTGTATTCAATGGACATAAATTTATCATAGTTCCAAAAAAGTCCATTGAGAAAAATATTTTGAATGATAAGCCTTTTTACATGCTACAAACATCTGAGACAAGCCATTTAAGATAAGAAAGGAAATGGTTGATAAACGTTTTTGCATAATTTAACGTTTTGAATTCTCCGATAATACATTAACTTAGAATTGTCTCATATCAGAATCCCGCAAACAAAATTCTTACAGCTAAAATACTTTAGGAGTTTAGTGATTGTGTTTAAACATCAGTTACGCAAATGAATTTCACACAGAAGTTTCATGAAAAGCAACTTCTTATGAATGACTGGACAGCTTCGTGTTCGTAAAATTTTTGCTGTGTTTCTGACAAAATTATCTCTATTTTACCACGTGAAAGTGAAAATTAATAACTGTGGCTCCAAACAAAACCACCAATGTAATTTGTTTCTTGTGTGTCAAAAATCGGGTCCGGAATACAATAGAAAAATAAGCGAATTTGCATGCGAAGTTTTTTATCGGCAAATGATTGTTTGAGCATAATTTGTTTCCAATTTGGACCATTATATGGCAAGCGTTTTTTTTGTTCGGAGGTCAAATGGGAAATTTGAATTCCTAAGGTTCCTAAATACTAAGGATCCGTCCTAATTTAAATGTTTTCAGAGCACGAAAATAATAATTAATAAATTTAAATACTCTTTTCATAGCAGCCAGAAGTTTCAGAAAATAAATAGAACATTTTGATTCCTTGAGTTTTTTAGAATTTTTTATTATATCTGAATTATTAAATCCGTTGAATTAATTTCAAAATTTGTTTTTGATGCCATTTAGTTTTGAAATTTTGTATGGGTGTCTCAAAGTTATTTTATTCATTCATTTCTTGCTCAGTTTTTTCAAAATAAATTGGTACCAGTTTTTCAGATCCAAGAGGCAATAAACCTGTTTTCCAACAAAGGATTTTTTCAAAAGATTTTTCCAACACAACTAAATGCCTAATTGTAATTTCAGGACCGACCAGGCCGACCAATAAAATCAACGGGTCCTTCCAGAGTCCCATCAACTTGACTTCCAGCGAGGCAGTTCACGATCCTCAGTTGCTGGAGGTGCCTCTGATTGCTCACTACCAGTTGACAAGGGACTTCGAGCTGATCAACACTGGATATGTGCTGCAGCTGTCAATGAGACCAAGACAAAGTAAGGTTCCCAGTAGGACTTCGTTTTTATGACGGAGCCACCGAATGGTCGAACATTTCGTAACCAATCAAAAAGCCTTTTATACTATCCAAAACTCAGATTCAATTGTGGCGTTTTCTTTCAGAATGTTTAAATTCGCTGCTTGCCTCATAAATTTCTGTCATGCATTTTTTTGCCACCGAAATTTACCCAACATAGAAAACATTGGAAGTGAAGTGAATATTAAGCGTCCACTTCACGAAATAAACCTTTTATTAAAGTATCTAATCAAGAAGCGTTAGCTTGCACCATGCTACAAAACCGTGATAATATAATATCTTACAAAATATTTGGGATTGAAAACATTAATTTGGATGCTAATCATAACTGCTAGCAATTCTATTTTACTTGGGAAAAAACCAACAAAGTTAGTGCGGAGTGGTAAAAAGGAAGTATTTAAGAGTTGTTTCGATTTAATGATCGCCAAGAAAATGAGGATCAAAGACTAAGATGATCGGGTCGCGCAAAATAACATTACAGATGGCACCATAAAACTTCCGCTATCAAATCTAACATTTTTCCTCAAGAAAATTTAGCTTCAACAAGTTCAATTTTTTTCCTTTTCAGTGGCTTCAACGACAAGCGAATTTAACCTCTACGACTATTCCAACGGTGGATTCGCCCACCCCCACCTCGCGCCTTCCGATTCCAAAATGGGGGGACTGGGTATGGGACTGGGGCTGGGGTTGGGGGGAGAGAGTATTCTGGTGGGGGGACCCCTGGAGACTGGCAATGAATTCCAGCTGATTGATATTATTTTCCACTGGGGCAAGGAGACAGACAGGGGCTCGGAGCATACGGTCAACTTCAAAGCATATCCCATGGAGGTCAGCTAAACACACATAATTACGAGCAAAAAAAAATTAATATATGAAAAACCCTGATATGTTTTTCGAAGACAAGCTAGACTGTTAGGAAAGTTCGGTTCTAATTCGAAGTCTGCTTCAATGTCATATTTACATCAATAGCAAACAATCGTTTTTGGCCGAAAACTAGGCAAAAAAATCATCACAAATCATTTCATTACATGTTTTATAATCACTTTTCATCTGCCTCCTTTTGATTATTCCTGGAAAAGAAGCCGATGGGTTTGTTTTGATGACAATTTACTTTGAGTTCATCAAATTGCATTCATGTGTTGTCTTTTCAGGTGCAGTTGGTGCACTGGAATTGTACCTTATACTCCAGCTACGAAGAAGCTCTCGGCAAACCAAAAGGCATCTGTATATGCGCATTATTTGTACAGGTCAGTAGAAAGGGGGCGCCAACTTCCTCTGTGGATCGAACCCTGCTGGCTACTCAAAGGGTTCCGGTTTTGTACTATTCTCCGCCATTCATTTTTGGCTAATCAACTCTATAAATTTTTGAAGGTGCCGCCCTGGGATCCATTATTTACTAATTTAAAGATGTAGTGAGCGCTAAAAAACGCAATTTTTGTCGGTAAAACATTAAAAGCGCTAAAAAAATTTGCATTATCTAGAAGAAGGCTGAAATAATTTAAACTTAGCAATCATTTTTTGGGAACATTATTAGCTTCCCTGTAAGACGTCTACATAATCATTCTTTTTGTTTTAAAAAACGTTCACTTTTCAGATCGGACGAGAACACTCGACACTGAAAATGATTATCGACCACATTGAGGAAGTCCAGTTCCGGGTATGATATTGCTTTCTACCCTTGTTTGACTATGTTGAGAAAATTATCTGGCTATTGTCAACTCCCCCTTTCATCCTTCTATTTCAATTTTGCAAAAACAAATTAATTTGCTTACGATAATGAAGTGGAATGGAATATGAAAAACAGAGCAATTGAGGGAAAATATCAACACCCGTGCTGTTCATCAGGGAAATATAATCTGATGTTAGTCTCAGACAACTGTTTTTAATAGATAATATAAGGTAAAACAATTAAAACTCGGTCTTATTCTCATAAGTAGCTAAGAATGATGACCAACAGTTCAATCGCCAATCATTCAGACTATTGTTAAACGTAACTGAAAATTTGACACTTCAAAAAACTGAAGAGTTCTGAAATGACATATATTTCGACCCACACGATTGTTTTTTCTGGTATTGTTTTTTTGTGAAAAAATCATACCTGAACACAAACACTTAAATTTATTTTAGTAGTCGAGCAAATAGTATCTCGGCAAATAGATATGAAATTTTTCGCGTTTTCTTACTTAAATCTGCTGACTGCTAGCCTCGCAAATTGATGGCATGAACACTCAAATTGTCTTTAGATGAAGTTTCAAACTTTTTTTGTAAAATATTTGTATTTTACCAAACTGTGTATTTTGTGAATTGTAAGCAGATTCAGCATCACGGACGCTCTCTTTGAGCTTGTTTTGTTCTTTCATTTTCTTTGATCGCTCCGAAAAAATTTAACATGTCGTAGGACTTGTTCGTGGATTTCAAAGACCTACATACACTAAATTGTGTGCCTATCCAGTAAAGAAAAAAAATCTCAACCAATTCATTCAGAATAATTTTGCTAACAACTGGCTCAATTCAATGGTGTAGGTTTTCAGGTAAATATTTTCTCATTTGAAAAACAATTTTCTTTTTTTGTTTTTATAATGCATTGAAAAAATGCAATTTGATATAAATATTTATGAAACAGCCATTAAAGGTAATTTCAAAAATAGTTCGTTTTTCAGCGTGTTAATTTCAATAAGTATTTCTTTTTAAAAAAAGAACTACATAGAACAACCTTTCTGTTTTTTGTGTGTTGAAAACTACTATTTTCCAGTCATCTAACCTGTCACACAATGTAAATTTCATGGTTTTGAAGCCAAATTAAGGTCATTATAAGCGATATTTGTAATGGAATCATTTTCTTGTGAAATAGCGGAGTTTGAAATTGCTTTGTCAGCCAATTTTGATATTTTAAGCTGACATGTTTTTCACTTAACTTTTTTGGTTTCCACTTTCGTATCAAAATTAACGGAATATTTGTGCTCGGGGTGGGTTTTTTTTCTTCAGGCAAACTCCGACTGTTTAACTAGCAAATTTAACGGAATTTTTTAAATCATTCAAAAAATATTGTCGCTCAAACTTAAATATGAAAAGATATTTTACCTGTGATCAGTTTTTGTAAATTTATGGGGGTTTAAAGATTGTAATTTTGGCCAATTTGGGACAATTAACGCGCGATATATTTCGCGCTATTGAAGCGTATGTGGAGATTTAAATCATCTTAGAAATCGTTCCAAATTGGTTGAAGCAGGCTATTTGTCGTTTTTGATTTGTTACTAGAAGCACAAATTGATCTCTTTGTATTTTATACGGGATGTTGGGAGATGTTTTTCTCAAAAAATCTCAAATTAAAAAAAATTCATTTTTATTACAATTAACTTTTTTTTCATGTTATTTCTGCTCCATAGACTTCAAAAGTTAGTCGGAACAATCAGTGCTTCGCCCTGATACGAGCGATTTTGTTGCGTTTATTGTGTTCATGGATTTTATCTGTCACTGAACTCAATCAACATTGATTTGAGCCAGAATAATTTTTTGGAGAAAATGGATGAATTTTTTGAACTCCAAAAATTTTATCAAGAACTTGTTAAAAATTTGTAAAAAAGTTAGTCATTATAAATAGGCTAACTTTTTTGCCTAATTTCACATTGGAGATCAAATTTTTCCACTCAATTTAATTTGTTTTAAAGTTTATAGCGCTACGGTTAAAGTGCTCGATTCTGATAAAACTTAAAGTAAAAATTGAGTTTACATCTTCCCCCTAGGAGCAACTTGGTCACTTATGGCTGAAATTTAAATGCAAAAATCTGATTTGAGTTACATCTTTTGTTGGTATTAAGTGATTATAAATGGAATGTAAATTACAGGCGAACAAGGTACAGTTTAAGTCCACTACAGTTTGTTGAGCGCCTTAATAAATCAGTTATTCATTGCAAATTATCAATTTTTGGTTTCAGTATTACGAAATCATGTTTCAGTATATATAGAAATCATGCTTCGTCATTTTAAGTTTGATGAAAAAGTGATTGGCAATTATTTATTTATTTTAGTTTCCGAAAATAAATCAAATTTTCTGCGTGCTAGACAATATTTAGAGAAAACGGGACAAGCAAAATATCAAGGCATTTAAAAAAGTGTTTACCAAAAAAACTATGTTTTTTGCGTGCACTGGCAAAAATTAGGTACATGCTAACACCGAAATCAACTTTCGAAAAACTTTAAGCCTGCTCCGTCGAAAAAGATGTAGAATAGTATCTTTAACTGTTGAGTCGTCGAAGTTCTTTTTTAAATTACTTTTTCGTCTGTTTTTTGTTTAAAATGTTTATTTGTTATCACTAATTGCACAGTTGTGACTTGGGATCTCGTTATGCACAGTGATTATTGGTTTGTAGGGTCGCAGTAAGAGGATCACGACAGCACTGTCTCCCGCTAGCTTCCTGCCTGATCCCGCTCTGAGGGACTACTGGGTGTACAGTGGCTCACTCACTATCCCCCCGTGCCACGAGAACGTCACATGGATACTCTACAGATACCCCCTCACCATCTCACATTCACAGGTATAATCAGGCGCGGATCTAGGAATTTTTCGAGGGGGGGGGGGGCGGATCTTCAAAAAAAATTTGAAAATTTTGTCGACCTTTTTTTTTGGTTTTTGGTCGACTAAATTGATTTTCTGAGCTCTCCCAAAACACTATAAAGACACTAATTCGAAAAAAGGCCATAAAGGCGTTTTTAGGCACTTCGACCAAAAATTCGCGTTTTTTCGGCGCGCGCTCCCCCCTCAAAATTATTATAGATTGGCGCCGAAGGGTCCGTCAGCAATTTTTAGGGTCCGTCAGCAAATATGGATATCTCAAAATTGTACGAAGGGGGGACCCTTTGGGTCGGCAGGGGGTCAAATCCCTGAGAAAAAGCGTCCACCTTAACCAAGTGGACCATCGCCCCCCTAAAACTGAATGGCTCTTTTAAACCAGTAAAACCAACGAATGCAAAATGCTCAATTCTGATTAGCTGCAAACTAATATTTTCAACCAAGCAAACACCGGCTCGCTAAGTTGAAATTGAACATGCCAAAAAGTTAACAAAAGCTTCGTGACACATTGACAACTTGGCGACACATTTAAAGCCACATTTTTCTTTTACCAGTCTTTTTTTTGCAAGGGGCATGCATGAGGTACAATTTGCTCATCATTCAACGATATTGGCCCTTCTAATGGTAACTGGCCGTTTTGTTGGCAATATAAGTAAGGTCTTATAAAGTGTTTTAGGAGAGCTCGCATATAGATTCAGGTAACTGACAAGGCGCATGACGGGCCTTTTAATTAAAACTTTGACGAATTTTATTACAAAAGAACATCTGAAATTGACGTTTTTGTTACTTTACAGACAGCACAAACTTCATATTATAAATGACTTCGTATGCTCGTTCAACATTTGGAGGCCAAGTTGTGGAAAATTTTTGACTAAAAATTCTGTTCAGCTGGAGGAGTTCCGTAGACTGAAGACGTTCACAAGGGGAGAGGCACCCACAGCCGGCTACGAGGGACAGATGGTGGACAACTTCAGACCCACCCAGGCACTCTGCGACAGACGCATCACTTCCTCCTTCAAACCATAGCAACATCACTCCAGAATCCGCAATGATTTAATAACCAAATTAGTACCCATACAACATGCGACTTGTTATGTAAAACACGGTAATAACAAGCCTCAAACAACCTTATACTTCTGGCCTGTGAAATCAGTAGCAAAAATAAAAATGGGCAAAAACGAGTTAACTTTTCTATTTTTTGTTTTAATTCTTTTACGTTTTAATGAGTTAATTCTTTTCTTGCTGATTTTTGTGAAATTAAATAAAAATTTATTGTAGCTAAGGTTGGGAATTTTTATGTGACTCTAAGCCTCCCAAGGCGTCCAAAACAAAATCATCTGTATGATGATCTTACCTGCCGAATTGCTTTGCAGTAATTTTAGAGTACTTCCATTATTTTTACAAGTAGATTAGTAGTTTATAAAATGAAGTTATAAATTCTAATTAATAAATAATTTCAAAAACTTCTCATTGTTTTCAAATGATGATAATGTTTTGAGAAAAATTGCCGAAAGTATTAATAATTTGAATTTAAGGTGGTTGCTTATTTCAGCCTCTTTGATCACCGGAACCATTGAGCATTTTTTTGTAAATTATATTTATTTAAGCAGCGAAGCCGAAATTTTTTCGAGACGTGCAATCACAGGGCATGAAGTTTTTTTCTTGATTTCAACGAGAAATTAAACCAATTTTTTCTTCGCGCTTTTTTTGTTCTCTCTGCAACTATTTAAGATATAAGATTTAAATCCGGGTTGACGTCCATACAAGAAAAATTCTTGTCATACAATTTCATATATGGCGCCTATGAAAAAAAAAGTTATCTCACAACTTTCAGACAAAATTTCAAAAATGTTTGAAAGATTTTTGATACAGATTTATGGTCTATTCGACGCTTTTGAAGCTTTGTGGTCTTTGTGGTCTTTTTTAATAAAAAAACGTTTATCATACAATTTTCATTTATATAAATTCATAGTTAGCGTTCTTTCGTGGAAAAATAAATTGTTAATAGACCATTGCAAATCCTTTTTAGGTGAATATATTTGAGTTTAATTTGTGTTTTTGAATATTGAGAGGGTTATGACTGTCGACATTATTTTTTGACATTTAGTCGAAAAATTGCTGATTTATAATTTTCATGTATGTGTTTCAGAAATCACTTGAAAATTTCAGAAATTAATTAAAACGGATTCTAAGAAAGTCAATTGAGCGTAATATGAGATTTTGAATGTTGAAAAAATTTTGCAATACTAAGAATTATATTAAGACTACTTTTTTAGTTATGGTAAAAAAAAATGCTTGTCATATAATTTTATGAGCATTTTATGATAAACATTTTTCCAGAGAAAAACTAAATAGAAAATAAATCATTCGAAACCTATTAAAAGAAAATTTCAATGAGTATGAAAATTTTTTTGAAGATTGCGAGCAATTTTTTTTTGTCAAAAATTTAAATTGTTTTTTTTTGTCGAAAAATGCTTTTCGCATAGTTTTCATATATTAAAACTGTATGATACGCATTTTTCCACAGAAAAAAAACTTTTGAAACTTTACATAAATACAATTTTAGCTAAAAACATATGAGTTAAGTTCAGTCTTGTTAATTTAGAAGTTGATGCTGGTTATCAAAAAAGTGATTCTTAAATTTGTTGTAAAACACTTTATGTAGAATTCTCGTACTCTGCAGCCATTGGTTGAAATTAAAAAAATATATATATTTTTTTTCACTCCGTTGTTATACCATGCATAGGATTTTACTTTGATTTGCTTCTGAAATCTTTTTCTGTCAGAGGAAGTGAGGAATGCGAAATCTTTTGTACAAAATACAGTAATTTCCAATTTCTTGAATTGCTGAAAGTTCTTACCGATACTTCCTGTTGTAAGGCGAGTTGTTGGCGAGTGTTTCTTCATTTGCTGCACAAAACAAAAGTTATTGCCATTTAAAAAATTTCAGCTCATTTTGGTCCTGTTTTTGAAGAAAAGTGTTCTTTTGCCTATTTTTAAATTAAATCGTGAGAAAAACTTTTGCTATATTTAATATTTTTTTGTTGCAACGTCTCAAAAATATTTGGTTTTGAGTATTAGGATCCTTCCACGCTCTGAGAATTGTTCCTCAAGCATAAGAAAATTTCCGCAGTCTCAAATTTTTCAGCGAGAAGGCACGTTTCATGGCTGGGTCTTAAATCTACTTGCCTCAATTCTACTTGCCAAGTTTCAACAATGCAAAAAATTCATCAATCCAATTTCATAAATTAGAAAAAAAGCTTCTTATACATTTTCATTGTAAGACTAAAAAGCTTATCTTACAATTTCATAATATGGAAAAACATTTTTATAGCGAAGTCTAGGGAAACAAGCCGACGGGACGTCGAGCCGAAGGGTTTTCAGGCCGCATTTTGACTTATTTACTGTTTTTGCGACGATTTATACGTGTTCTATCAAAATTGTCGAGTATTACTAAATGTGAACTGGGGCATTTTTAATTCGTTAAATGGATCGGTGTTTTAAATGCATTAATTACAAACTAATGAACCCTATACATAATGATTTTAAATTTGAACCTCATAAGAGATCCTTTAACTTCGTAAAATTGATGAAAAATATAATAAAAGCAACAATTGTGTGCAAAAAAACTTCCAAATTCTTTTTGAGCCCATGCTTTTTTTTCATATTTTCAGGAAACTATAGCTCATTATTTTGCCTGAAGTCCGTACTTTTGCCTTTCGGCTCGAAGTCCCGTCGACTTGACTTTCGACACCAAACTGTATTATGTTCTTTGAAATTTTCCAGCGCGGCGAACTTCTCCAAATTTTTGCTTCATTTTTTTCACTAGTAGCATAGCACCAGCTTTTATTTTAAAAACACTGATCGAGTGGTTCTCTCTCGAAGATTAATCACAAATTCAGGTCGAAAACGTACAGCTAATGTATCTTTTTTGGGACAGACTTTGTTTTCAAAGCAAATGCTTCAAAACGAGATTCATGTTCCATCTGGTGTAGAGAGAGCTTAAACCGTTTTATAAATTTGGGTTGTTTTTCGACATGCGAAGAAAGACATGGAATACTTTAGCGTGGTTTTTTTCTCTTGACACCTTTAATTTCGGATAAAATTTTGTGAGAATTTTCTTCATATATTTAAAAAAATTGGATAATATTCATTAAAAATAGGTTTCATCTGGTATTATTGCAGAATGTCCCACGTTTTGCCCCACACACATTTCGCCCCTCTTAAATAAAGTGGCACAATTCGCCCCTCACACAATTCGCCCCTAATAATTTCACACATTTCGTCCTCGCACGTTTCGCCCCTAACTTGTTACACAGTTAAGTAACGCCGCTTTCTTAATGTACATTTTATGGGCAAAATGTGCCAGTAATTTTTGAAGGGCGAAATGTGTGGGGGCGAAATGTGCCACTAGATTTGAAAGGTGCGAAACGTGTGAGGGGAAAAACGTGTGAGGTGCGAAACGCGTGAGGGGCGAAATGTGTGAATACCATTAATGCACGCTATATTTACAGTTATCCATTTCCGCATATAGGCGGCAAAACAAGCAGGTTCATAACGAGGCCAAACTGTGCACTGGATAGGCGCACAATTTTGTGTCTGTATGTTCCTGGATTCCAGAGACAAGTCCTTAAACATGTGAAAGTTTTGTCGGAACGATCAAAGGAAAGTAAAGAACAAAGAAGAACGAAGGGAGCTTTGTTATCAAAACTGTACGTCTTGCAAATCTAGCATGAGCTTTCGGCAATTTTTTCAAGCGTCAGCAAAACCATCGACAAATTGATGGACTACAATTTAGCATCAAGAACTGTTAAAAATTTGATCGCTTTCAATTACACTCGGCTTAAGTTGGTTACGCAAGAAATTAAACAACCACTTTCAGTTCCTGAAAAATGATTTTTTGAATCTAAAATCTTTTTTCAAATAGGATGTAACCAACTTCCAGATCTGAGTTCTAAGTCTGTAAACAATTAAAATTTTTGTCTCAGAACACTTTTTGTCCCGGAAAACCGTTGCGTTGTAATCAATTATTATCAAGTAAATGTCAGTGCGAATATAAGCATCATGAAAGGAAACGAAACAAAGAATCGAATGTTCACTAGTGTAAATAAACTAAATATAGATTTCGCAAGTCGATTTTCACAGTAAAGCGTTTTTTTCAATTGAACTGCACTAGTGAGATTTTTTTTGAAAAGTTTAAAGATGGAAAATGGAAAAGTTTCCTTAATCAAATTGGTTGGATACGGTTTTAATAATGAAAAAAATAATAATCTTAACAAAATCAGTGCTTGGGATTTTTGAAAATGATTATTCGATTGAACCTGTGAGCAATCCAGTGCACGCAGGAATAAAATTTTGCTGATGAATTCAACAAATTATTCTGAGCTCTGCAAGTCTTATCCCGGATTTCAAAACCTTGCTGCTTTTGAACGGGTTTGGATTGGTACAAACTTTCAGCAATTTTTCCGTAGATTTGACTACAACAAAAAAGATCAAAAGCTGTTATCAATTTGTTATGGAATTCGATTGCAAATTACAAAACACGCAATTTGATCAAGCATTGACTTCTTTATTATTACAGACAGTTGCATAGTAAATATCCGTTGAAATAAGCTTGTCTAAAAGTCATCAAGTAACTTTAAAAAGTTACATAACTTTTTTGCTGTTGTGTAAATTTTTTCTTTAATTTGCTGTTTTTGAATTTTATTCTTGACAACTCATTACGCTCGCAACTTTTGCAATATGTTCATGCAAAACGCAAATTAAATTTGATTTGAGGCATCAAATTTTTTCAAAATGATTTAGATATGTCAATTGAAACTTTTACATTGTTGACTTCAGCTTGACCGGAGATAAATATAATAAAACTGGTCTTTAAATTGCTAAAGCCTCCTCCCTTCACGAGGTTACTAGAGAATGTTCTCCTCTTTGATGTTCACCTCCCCTTCAAAAGGTTACTAGAGAATGTTCACCTCTTCGAAATACTATTTCAGCGAAAGTGAACTGAAAGTAGAGTTTTACTAATTTTTCCTTGTATGCAAACTAATTTGTTTTGAAAATTTCTTTCTTCGATTTCTACTGAAATGATTTAATTTGCTTGCTGCTTTGTCAAATTGAATGTTTTTGCTAGTTTTTTTTTCTTTTTCAGGTTCGCAGCTATTTTAGCTCAAAAAAGATAGCATGAATTCTCGGCAATTTTTTTTTAAACTTCAGCAAAACCATCGACAAAGAAATAGAGTACAATTGGTCATCAAGGACAGTTATTATTTTGTTTGTTTTTTAATTACAATTGGTTTTATTTGGTTTTCAAGGAACAAACAACCGCTTTCAGTTCCCGAAATTTGATTTTTTGGAAGAAAAAAATATATTTTTTAACGAGGATGTAATCAACTCCCAGATGTTAGGTCTGTAATCAATTATAATTTTTGTCTCGGAACAATTTTTTTTTTGCTCTGGAAAACCGTTGCAACCAAATTTTATCAATTAAAAGTCTTTGTGGATATAAGCATCATGAGAATGAATGAAATAAGAAGTTGAATGTTCACTAGTGTAGATAAACTAAATTTAACTTTCACACACGGATTTTCACAGTAACGCGTTTTTTTCTTATTGATCTGCATTTGTATGAATTTTTTGAAGATGGAAAATGAAAAAAAAAAATTTTATTAATCAAATTAGTTAGTTAAGAATTTTGTAATCGAAAATTGATTTAATACTAACAAAATCAAGGTTTAAGATTTTTGAAATTAATTATTTGATTGAACTTGTGAGCAATCCACTGCACCCATGAATAAATATTTGCTAATGAATTCAACAAACTTTTCTGTACTGCGCTCTTCCTATCCCGGATGCCGAAATGCTAGCTTCTCTGGAAGTAGTTTGGATTGGTACAAAATTTCAGCCTATTTTCTTTAGGTTCGACAACAACAAAAAGATCAAAAAATCTTATCAGTCTGTTGAGGAACTCGCTTGCAAATCACAAAATCTACATTTTGGCTATGCATTGACTTCTTTTGCATGTACTCAACAAGTCCATTTACAATAGATAGGCATATAGTAAATGTCCGTTGAAATAACCAAATGCCTATAAGTCATTAAGTAGTTTAAAAAAAGATATAAATTTTATTTTAGATGTTTTGAAACGTCGCTATATACTCGGTGTGCACAAAAAAACGTTTGAAAATTGCCATTTTTGAAATTAATTCCTGGCAACTCATTGCGCTCGTAATTTTTGAAATATGTTCATACAAATATTATGTTTAATTTGAATTCAAGCATCAAGTTTTTTCAAATTGATTTAGATATGTCAATTTAAACGTTTACTTTGTTGACCTGAGCTTGACCGGAGATAGAATTTTTAATACTGGTCTTTAAAATTGTTAAAGCCCCCTCTCTTCACCATGTAACTAAAGAATATTCACCTCCATAAAGGATTAGCATATATAAATTGTGTGTCTCTTAAGAATTTCTAAATTCTTAAGAGGTACACAATTTTTTGCAATTATAGAAGGAAGTTAAGGATATAAGGCACAGCCGCAGAATCGATTAAAATGATGCCAGAACCGCGTTAATTTTTCAAAAGAATAAGACTACCAGAGCACCACTTATGATTTTTCTAAAATGTAAAATTGTAAAATCAAATTTCTTGTAACTGCTCTAACAAAACACTATTTAAAAACTCAAAAATTGATCACAAAATAATTTTGAACTCAAAACTAAATACTGATACCCTTTAATGACACTCTAATTTAATTTATTACTCATCGCTGCTGCTAAGAATTGACAATTCACTACAATTTTCTATATCGGTAACCATTTTTGAAATAGTCAATCAATAAATTCAGCTCGGTTCAAAAATTTTAGCAGCGAATATGAAGGGGTCACATAAATTTGTTAGCCTTCATTTGAAGACGTAACTTTTTTAGATTTTGCCGTAGATTTTAGTCTAGACGAGCAAAAACGGGAATTTTAGCCAAACAAATTCAATGGGTCAACCTTCAACGCGAACAGCTATGCGGCTCTGGTACCTTTACGCTAAAATGTTTAAAAATGAGCTGAATCTGCTTTTCCTTAATAAATTTTAGGTTTCTACCACATTTGAAATGGAGACTTAGTTTCCCGGAATTTCAATTATAGCCCTACTATTTGATCCGAGCTGTATTGAAGTTTACTCCTAACAATAAGTTCCTATGAGCAGAAGTTGCACTTGGGTCTCTCGTCTCTGGACTGGACTGGTTTGGACTTGAAAGTGAGAGATGCCTCTGGACCTGTGGAGACCACTCCTGAGTAGTTCTTCTCTGCTTTGGCCAGGTGTTCTTCAACCAGTTGCGTGGCCAACATGATGAACACCTGACAAATGAACAAGTTTAATTAAAGAAAATTAGAGCTACAAAGTGGAGTGAGCATGAGAAGATGTTCTTCTTTGCTTCGAAAAGCTGTCAGGAGGGTCAATCAAGAACTCACTAAAAGAACTTCAACATCTCAGACAGGCTTTTTAAGCTGCCTTTATCCGGTGACCTTGACTCTGAAGTAACAGCACAATCAAATTTTATATTAATAAATTGCTTTATGTCGAAAAATTTCTCCAATTTACGAGAGAGTTCGGTCTTCTTGAACAGGAAAAAGTGCAATCAAAAATTAAGCGTTCCCTTGTTTCGTCACTATTGTCACAGAATCGTCTGATTGGATCTGCTCTGGCTCAAAAGCTGTATAAAGTTTTGTCATAAACTCCTCTACTAAGCAACCTAAAAAAAATTTTTTCTTTTGAAAAAGTTTTAAAATGTGACTAGGCCAATTTGATTTCAGAAAAGCTAATATTTCATGTTGTAGAAGGCCAAATCGATAGCACAATTTTTCTGCGCGCTTTTGAAAAACATTCATATTTTCCAAAGTAGTAATCAGCTCTACGTACAGTTGCTTATAGCTGACAAATAAATACAAAAAATTGGTTCAAATTGGAACAATTTTCCTTTTTTTGGAAATAAATTTGTTCGACCTAAAAAGGTCGACAAAATTTTCAAAAGTTATTTTGAAAATCCGCCTCTTTTGCAAAAAACATAGATCTGCTTCTGTTATGGATAACAATGACATCAAATGAATGATAAATGAGTATATAAAATCAGAAAAAAAACCTATTTTATCAGCACCCATGCAGTTTTTTTGATAGATGATTTTCAAAAAACTATGCGTATAGTTTTAAATCTTTGAATAAACTGATTTTGGTTTTCCGATATTTTCGAAACAAATTCAAGAAAAATTTTGCGGCATATACAAATAAGATACCTTGTGTATGTTGCAAGACTCCTTGGCACTGGTCTCCACGTAGTCTATGCCCAGACTCATGGCATATTGCAGAGCAGTCGAGTACTGAACTAAAAAGGGAAAACATATTTATAGGAGTCGAGCAAATTTGTGATGCCTCTTCGTTTTGATCCTAAGATGATTGGTTAAAATCAGATAAGCTTTACCTGCTCCCGCCTCCCCACACTAGCATTTGCCTAGTTTCTTATCTTGGTGATTATGCTATTTTGGTACTATTTTACGACATCCATTTTTGGTCGACCAACCCTAATATTTTCAACATTTGAAGCGTGCACCGAAAAAACGCACATACCTTTCGGACATGTTTTGAAATCCCCCTTGAAAAACGTAGGTTTGCCCTTGGGTTCAACAACGCTCGATTATATTTCTTGCTTGCATCTAGCGCTATTTTACTGATATCATTTCTTTTGATTCTCTAGAGATATTTTAATTTTTAATTTGACAGAAGCTGCGAATAGTTTTTGGAAACTAACGATAGAGAAAAGAAAAGTATTCCCTTTTACACGTAGAAATATCTGAACATTGACTCTTTCGAAACGTTTTTGTTGATTATGGCAACTTTTTGGTTTGTATACTCTCTGGGAAACTTACCCTGTCTCTTTTCTGTGAGGTCGTTTTTGTTTCCAATCATGATGACCTTGGCGCCCTTGGCCATCTTCATCACACTCTGGTACCACGTGTCCACATTCTCAAACGAGTTCGGATTGGTCAGATCGAAGCAGATGAAGATGCCGTCTGCATTCCGGTAGTAGCTGAATAAGTAAAATAAATTGATCTTTTCAACTATTTCCCCTTATTGGAGCAGACTTCGCATACGCTTATTAACCGTTCAGTAAGTTGTTCAGATGGTTGGAAATACTTTTATAAGATACCAAAGGCAAAAGATTAAAGAAATCCAATAATTTAAACAAGAATAGCCGGTTACTGTATAACTAGCACAGAATAGCCGGTTACTGTACAACTAGCACAGAATGTTCCGTTTCGACCATAGCTCTTTTTTTTCAAATTAGTGTACTATTTTTTTTGCGTGTTGTCAAAAAAGGATCTGACGTACAACTAAAATTTAGGCATATTCGACAGTCATAGTTATATAGGCAAATAGGAGAACAAATTTTGAGGAAAATTGACCGGAAAAACAAAAAAAAAATCATTTAAAAATTTTTTTAAATTGCAATTTTTTTCAAGTTTTTGCTTCCCAAAATGGCATCAAAATCTCCAAAAACTACTTTTTACTAGAGTAAAAGTAAAATTAAGCATGAAAAAACTATTTTAAAAAGCCTAAATTAAGCATAAAAAGCGTGCTCGCTCGCTTTACTCGATGGATTCAGTCGAAAATCTAGAATTTAAACTAGAATTTAATCAAAAATTTGATAACCGGTTTTTCTCAACACTGGGATTTTTTTTTCAAAAATTTTTTGAGGTCGTTTGAATAACGGCTGAAAGAGATTTAAATTGATTTATTACTCAACTCTCTACGGCGATTATTTGTATTAGCTAATTTGGCGTAGAAAACAAGAAAAATAGAAAAGCCCGCACTGGAGTTCCATGGATAAGAATCGATTATCGTTTTATAGTCAGTATCTATAAATTTACCAAAATAATGGATTATAACCCATCAAAAACTGATTATAATCCTAATATTTTTCATAACAATATAATCCATCTTAATAGACTATAATCGATTACATTCGATTAAAAATGAATTATAATCATAATTTTTTCTATTCAATTTAATCCATTATAATAGATTAGAATCGATTATAATGTTTTTTTTTAGAAAAAATTCTGAAATTTGCAATTTTTTTTTCAAAATTATCTCATTTCTTGTTTCGTGCAGCTGCTACGTATTAAATCATAAATTTTTACTTTTCACATAAGATTCTATTTATTTAAAACTTCTCTACTTTTTCTATACTACGTAACAACCATCTTTTAGCAACCCTCTTCCCCAGTTTACCCCTCGTCAGATTACTCCTCGCCCCTCCCCCACCCAGTTTACTCCCTCCTCGCTTTACTCTCCCCTCCTCCCGTTTACTGAACGTGCGCGGGGTAAAAAATGGAGGGATAAAAAGGTGGAACAAAAAACTTGAATGAGGGGGTTAAAATGTAAAATGGGGGTAAATAGGTGCTATCCACACTGAGTAACCCCCCCCCCCCCCGTCCTCCCCTTTCAATGGTAAACAAACTGGGGGGGGGGGGGGTTAAAGTGTAACTTGGGGGGGTTGGGTTTGGGGGTAAACTTTAGTTAACACGGGGGCGGGCGTAGGGATTAGCGTAGGGGAGTGGAGGGGTAGGAGGTTTGGGCAAATGCGGATGGGTGCAAAGTGAGGGGGATGTTAATTTGAGTAGGTTTAGATTTCGAGTAGGCCGTGACTAACGCAGAAGCGTTGCAAATTTTGCAAAAAAATAAAGATTGTAATCCGTAATAATCAATTATAATGGGTTTTGAATGTGTTTTTACGAAAATAACAGATTATAATGACAATATAATCGATTTTGTGGTCTAAATTTGCAACAATAATGGATTATAATGACAACATTTTAGACAACAATTTTCAATTGTAATCGATTATTATCCAAAACAAAACACACCCGATTACAAAGATCCTCTCCACTTTTCAAATGGTCGGAACAATAATTCAATAAATGACCAACCTTTCTGGAATGTGGCGCCCTAGCAGTGGCGCCCTTAGTGGCTACATACGATTTTATGGTGCACTCGGTTTTGGTGTTTTTTTTTCAAATATTTTTCACTAGTTCTTTTTAAACTAGCAAAATAAGCCGTGCCAAGAATCTTTTATTTCTATTAAGGAGTTACTATTTTTGTTTTTACTCCAGTTAGAGATGAAGCAGATGCTTCTTTGAGCTCAAGTTGACTGAGCTGTAAAACGTCGGTACTTTCCATACCATTGGGCTTTTTATTCGCCATCCTTACGGAAAACAGAACTAAATAACGAGAAACAATTTTGGTTTTTCTAGGTCATACCTGTGAGTTATGGCTCTGAATCTTTCCTGTCCGGCCGTGTCCCAGATTTGGATCTTGGCTTTCTTGCCTCCAGTCACCTCCAGAGTGCGTATTTTGAAGTCCACTCCGATTGTAGTGCTGAACGTCTCCGAGAAACAGTCATCCGTAAACCTGAAAAGATTTTGGAAATAAACCGGTTCTAAGTTTTCCATTCACTTTTATTCGTCATTTTTTCAGTCCATGTTTTACAATAAGAAGCAATGTGTGTCAGAACGTCAAAAAATTGATCTTATATAAAAAGTGCATTACGAAGTTTGAGACACTTTACCAATGTTACATTTAGGGAGCCACGTAAAACATTCACTTTGATTGAATTATTTTAAAAATTAATTCAAACTTTTTATCAATGGAACCGATGCAAAAAAACTTGAATCTTTTCCTTTTGGGTGAGTTTTGGTTCAGTTTCTGCAAAAATACACCATATTTAACCTGACAAAAAGTATACGTGAATCTACTCTTCAGGGTTTTTTATTATCCAAAGTCAAATCAAATCGAGAAAACTGCTCTTCACACAATTTTACATTTGTTTAATTTTGTCGGAATTATTTGAATCAGCACAAAACAAGCAATGAAACTTTCAAAAAGTTGGTTTCTGTTAACATATCTTCTGCTTTTCAGCCACTAAATATCCCTAAATCCCAACCTAGTCACAGCCCTGCTGAAAAACCTGCTGAAGTTTAAATTTGAGTCACGCTCTCAGCTTAGTTTCTTTTATTTATAAGTCAAATGTATCAATGCACTCTATACTGACTCTTTTTTTTTTAATCATAGTTGCGCCCACTAGCAATGATTGTTAAAACAGGTCAAAAAACAGTTTTTGGGCCTTTTTTGGAAAAATTTGACTATAAAATACGTTATATTGTGGCGCGCACTCCCCTTCACAATTATTATATATTGGCGCCAAAAGCGCCTTTAGAAAAATTTTAGGATTGGTCGGCCTAAAATGGATGTCATAGATATCAATAAAGAAACCCTTTGAACTCCCCCACCCCCTAAATCCGCCACTGCATATGACACTACACTCAATCCTTTAATTCTCATTCCTTGCTTCCCAAAATGTGTTCGAAACTACAAACTAAGTCATGGTTTTAACCAGATTTTCCAATCAACTTTTAACAGCAACTTTTCAAATGGTTTTTGTGCTCTGCTTTCGCGAAAACAATGAGCCGTATTTTCAATTTGTCGGCAGTATTTTTTCATGATTTTTCTTCCATTGTTTTCACGCAGTAAGAGGAGCAGTCCAAGCACATCGGCTTCCCAAGGAACAATTTTAACCCATGAATTTGAAAATTTTGTGTTTTTACGAAAACGGTTTCCACAATTTAAGAATTATTAGAGAAAATTTAATGATAAAAGCCAACCAAAAAATTCTGGAGAACTGAAAAGATCAATATAGTTGTTCTTTTTTAAGGATTTGCTTTGTCCAACAATGCTTTTACACGTCACAGCAGGGGCGGATTTAGGGGGGTGGGGGCGGGGAGGGGGCGTTCGCTTTTTTTCAGGGATTCGACCCCCTGCCGACCTAAAGGGTTCCGCCCCTTGATACTTTTTAAGAAATCCATTTTTGACCGACCGACTCTAAAAGTTTTCTAAAGGCGCCTTCGCCGCCAATATATACTTACTTTGAGGGGGCGTGCGCCAAAAAAACGCGATTTTTTTGTCAAAATTTTCCAAAAAGTGCCCAAAAACGGCTTTTTTGACCTGTTATTTCAGAAATTTGCCTGCGGTGCAGAAAAATTGGCCAAAACAGCGTCTTTTAGTACTTTAGTAGAGCTCGGAAAACCAATTTCGTTGACCTAAAAAAAAAGATCGTCAAAACTTCACATTTTTCGAAAATTTTTTGAAAATCCGCCCCGCCCCCCTCCTCGAGAAAATCCTAGATCCGCCCCTGCATCACTGGATAATGGGTTGATGATGCTAATGATATGAATCCGGCCACCAGGGTCGACGTCCCATAATTTTGTCCAGACTTTGATAATCGCGCTACATCCGGATTCACGCCCATCCTGCACAGTAGCGCCGACAGTTTTAGTCTGGAATGTCTGGACATAAAGTTGCAAAAAACGCACTGATCGTCGCTAATATCTGAACATACTGAAGTTTGGTCGAGAAAATCAGTGGACATAAAGTTGCGAAAAACTGGGTATAGTGTCGCGTAAGTCTGGAGAAAAACTTGCGAAAAGCTGAAAAATGTAAGTCGCAATTTTATGTCCAGACTTTAGCGACTGTATGTCCAGATTTTCGTTACTTTATATCCACTGATTTTCTTGAACAAAATTCAGTTTGTTCAGTTATTTGCGACCCTCGGCGCAATTTTCGCAACTTTATGTCCAGACATTCCGGACTCAAACAGTCGGCGCGACAATGCAGGATCCGGATATAGCGCGACGCTCAAAGTCTTGACATAAGTCTGGGACGTTGTCCCGGGTGGTGGGTTTTAATCATTAACATCATCAACTCATAAGCCAGTGACACGGATATAGAAGGATTGTTGAACAACGCAAATCCTTAAAAAATGAATGTCTAACTTTTTGGGTAAGCTATTTTGATCTTTGTAGTTGTCCAAAAACTTTTGGTTGACCTTAGTTATTAAATTTTACAAGTGATGATTTCTGGGTCAAAATATTATTTTCCCGCACTCACCTCAAAAATATAGATGATTTGCCTACACTCGAATCTCCAATGAGCAGAAATTTAAACAGGAAGTCATAATGATTTTCAGATTCCATTTATAAATCAGGGTAACTTGACTGATCAAGTTGGAATAAAATTTAACTTGTTCAGTATTTCTTGTCAAAAGCAGGTAATATTCGTAATAGTCAATAAGCAACCAAACAAATCTTGATTGTCTTATTATGAACGCAACTAAATCATTATAAATATATCAAATAATTCGTCAAACAAATTGTCACGAAGTGCTTTCAGTAGAATAAGGCATCATTGTTATAGTAAGTAGGTTGAGATCCTGTTTTACTTTTATTAATTCTCGTTCATCATTCTCTAGTTTTTTGCGCGCTACTGTTCCAAGGGAGACCGTACTAGGCCAGAAAAATTCAGCGAGCATTCATCGTTATCAGATGAGGGATTTTTGTTGAAAAATTTTGCGATCAAATTTAACTCAAAATCAAAAGAAAGCTGTAGTTAGAAAAAAAAGAGTCTTCCATGTTAAGAGGTAGATCTCTTGTATAACATCTGAAATTTTTTCCTGGATTTTAAAATTTTTATAATTTTTATAATGTTAGTTTGTAAGATTAGAACTGTTTGTTCACAAGGAAAAGAGCATAAATACGAGCTCTTCATGGAGAGCCGTTGTTGTTTCTCTGCTTAAGAACTTAAAGCAGGAAAATTTTTGGATATTTTTAGGGCTGAAAACTTTGTTTCAGCCTCAAGCAAAGAGAGCGGATGGTGGGTCTCAAACCATTCACCTTTCATTACGAGGCCAAACTGTGCTTTTTGGGAAATATACGTGGATTCCGCAACAAGGATTCTCCCTTTGTTCTTCTTTTGTTCTTTCATTTTTTTAAATCGTTCCGACAAAATTTAAAGATGTTGAAAGACTTGTCTCTGGAACCCAGGAACATACAGACATAAAATTGTGCGCCTATCCAGTGCACAGTTTGGCCTCGTAATGTTTGACTGAGAAGCGACTTCCACCATCGCTAATACAAATATCAAGGTTTGACTGGAAAAGCGGTCTTACCCAATGTTGAAGCCCGGTGGATTGGATCGTTCAGCATTGTAAGCGAATGTCACGTGAATGGCAGGTTAAATCTGCAGCAGCACTTGCACGACGATGCGGAATACTTTCTTCTAGTTAACAATGTGAAAATAACATTCAAAACACTGGAGCTAATTGACGTATGTCGAGTTAAATATCAAACCTTTGAAAGCTAATTTTAACCACTCTGCAAAAATAATGTGGTTTTTTGCAATATTTTTAAGACATAAATAACTTAAGAGTTAATTTGAATTGCATATATTTTATTCCCAACCCGAAAATTATTACATTATGAAAACTGAGAACTGTGCATAGATACGAAAATTAGTGCAACTTAGTCATCCGACCAATTTCCTTGAAAATAAACTTATAAATTTTGTTGCCTTATAAACAACAGATTCTCCATAGAGTTTTCCATATAACCACTTAAGTATTTTTCTATTGATCACAAAAAAATTCTTCAAGACCTTCAATTGTCGCTATCTTGCAAAATCTTGCCAGATGATCTCCATCTTCAATGATTAACGCAAGATAATCTACGTTTTGAAAAACCTTGCATAACAAGTCTATGATACAAGATCACGCACAAAAAAAACCTCGCTTGAAAGAGTTGTGCAACATCCTGCTGAGTAACCAGTAAGATTTTTATTTTGAAAAAAAAAATCGAAAAAATTACGGTTTCAACTAAATCCAAAATCTTTTCAATATAAAATTATAAATCCAGTAATTTCAAAAATAATATTTCAAACATGGAAAACCTAATAAATTTTTTCAAAATGCATGAAAAAATCTAAAGTCACTAAATTAACCATCACATCACTAAAGGAGTTAAACTTCATTTTTATTTCACTGAAGTATGATTGAAAACAATTATTCTGAATTTCATTAACAAACGCATTTTTTTTTGCTTTTTCAGCAACATTCACAAAATGTAGCTGAATTCCGCTGTGATTCGAGATGCTTGCCTTCAAAAATCAATCAACAGTAGAGATTTCCGAACGTTTACTTTCACCTATAGATACGGAGCATATCATTTCCTCGGGACATAAGCAGAATGCATCAGCCACTGAATACATAAGGGTATGAAGAATTTAAGTTCCAGTTTTACAAATCTTAGATTTTCCGAGAAGTGGCCGCACACTTACTTCCTGGGGCGAATTTAGGGTGGGGGTGGACGTTTCATTACTCCGCAGTTATTCGACCCCCTGCCGACCTTTGAACTTTTTTCAGATTTTGAGATATCCCTTTTTGGCTGACTGATCCTAAAATTTTTCTTAAGGCGCCTTGGGCGCCAAAATATACTATAATGTTGAGGGGGGAGCGTGCGCCAAAAAACGCGATTTTTGGTAAAACTTTTCCGAAAAGATCCTCACGACGCATTTTTGGAGCTGCTTTTTCAAAATTTTGCTTGCGGCGCTAAAAATTTGGCCCAAACAGGGTCTTTTTAGTGCTTTGGCAGAGCTCGGAAACTAAATTTAGTCGGACTAAAAAAAGTCCACAAAATTTTTGAAAAAAAAAATTTTGAAAATCCGCCCCCCTCCCCCTGGAAAAAATCCTAGATCCGCCCCTGCTTAATCCGTTCCTGTTTTTAAAAAAACAATAAGATTTTTTGCCTCTCATAATGAGAAATTATATTTTTGAATCTATCAATTGGCATAAAAAATTTGACATCCGAATAAACTTAAAATAATAACAGTAAGTCGTTTCAACTGCACTTTATTTCGCAAATTTATTTCAATTTTACTAATCTGACAAATCACTAAAGTCGCGGATTTCTTTGTGCTCAAATGATGACTGAGTCCTAAATGATTTTTGGTTATTTTTGGATCTTGTAGTTTAAATATCCCGGGTTGACCAAAACTTCTTATCATACAATTTCCATATATGAGAAACTTCTTGTCATACAATTTCATACAATTCCATACGTACAGAAAATTGTATGAAAACTCTATGATAAGCATTTTTCCATATATGAAAATTGTATGATAGGTGTTTTCCCATAAACCAAAAATTTTGATTTTTTCTTTCTAAATTTAGTTTCTGCAAAATTTTTGGTTGTAGTTGCAACCGAACACAAGTGACATAGACCTTGGTTAATCAAAACACCATAGGTTGGACGGTCTTGCATTTACAATGCATAGAAAACGACCTGGATTTGGCTGTCTTTCACAATTGATATAACAAAAGTAACAAACTATCAAATTTTCAATTTATCAAATTATCAGACATTGATCAAGGCGTACATCAACACCCCATACAAAAGAAAAAGGAATTTTCAGCGTTTTTGAAAAAAAAAATTAAGTGAAAAGAAAGTAAAAGCCAATTTTATCGCATCCAGGACTACGTTATGCACACAAAATATTAAATTTTGCATGCAAAAATTATTTTTTCGAAAAATGTTTATTTGCGTACGAAAATTGATTTGCGGTTGAAAAAAAAAAACAAAAAAATTTTTGGGCCAAATTTTCAAAATTACTTGTGTCGCCATCAAAAAAATGCCAGTCATACAATTTCCACACTGTTCGACCCATGATTCGACCCAATTTGACGTATGATTCGAACTGTCCGAATCATGATTCGACCGTGTTCGACTCATGATTCGACCCTGTACGACTGATGACTCGACCCTGATTGACTCATGATTCGACCCTGCTCGACTCATGATTCGACCTGTTCGACTCATGATTCAACCCTGTTTGACTCATGATTCGACACAGTCGGACTCATGATTCGACCCAGTCGGACTCATGATTGGACCCTGTTTGACCCATGCTTCGACCCTGTTCGACCCATGATTCGAACCATCTGATACACTTGAAACATTGGTTCATTGTGCAGTTCTCTTTCTTGATGCTCTTAGCTGTAAGTGCACTTGATGGTAGAGCAGTATAAATCTCTTTTGACGTTCAAATGAGGCGCTCGGTAAGCCCCAGAGCTAATTAGTTCAAACTAAAAGCAATTCGAGTCAGTTTCGAATTGAGAATATAAATTTCGGACATCAAGTAAAAAGAGTGAACTTCTTGAGTACTCTCAAATAGAAGTTGGTTGCCATCAATTTGTATTTTTGACGCTTCGCTTGTAGTTTCTTGTGGAATTTTTTAAATTGATTTGAATTTTTGACTTGGTTGAATCCAAGTAATCGACTGTTAAGAAAAAAAATCAAACGACGAGCGAGAGTCTTCGTTGTAGTCTATGGCCAGAATATAGACGGATGAAATTTTTGTCATCATTTAAACTGTTGTCGATACCTTCATTTGGTTTGGTTATATTTTCCGATGCACTGAAGGGGTTCCGATCTAGCTCAACTGGTGCAGATTTTCAGTTGGTGGTAAAAGTGCAGCTATAATAAGACGCTGATGTGTCATTTTTTCATTTAGAGAAAAGGCAAAAAGCCGGCAGAAGTACCGAGAATACATAACGAGAATAGAAAAACCGACGACGAGCGAGCGTAACAAAATACTCAGACACGAAAAGTGCAAAGTGCAGAGATATTTGACGACAAAGCTAGCGAGAGCGAACTTCGGTCACGGCTGGAGGGGTGCCAGTGTCATCCGCCTCCTCCTCAAGGTGGGACCGGCTGCGGCAAAATGGATGACATCTCCCCCTCCCCCACGGTTGGTCCTGCACTGAGCAGGCCGGGGGCAAATAAAAAAAAAAGAGCGAACATTCCATTCCATTATCCTCCGATGACAGCTACAGCGAACAGTACAAAACTGGCGGACTGAACGTAACCGGATGTACACCGACGGATATGCAACAGTTGAATTGGACTCCAAATAAGACCATCAAGGACGGCAAAATATGCTGAGGTTGACACGAAAATTGGGACAAGATCGGAAGGCGGTGACTAAAATGGGTGGAGAAAACTGTGAATAATTTAAAAACCCCAACACAAAAATATACAGGTGATAAACAGACGGAACCGGAGAAGTAAGGATGACAAAAAACTTGGTGGCCCAGGCAGAAGGCTGCGAGACGGCCGAAAACTCAACAATAAAAATTTTCTGGAGCAAAACGTCAATAATAGTTGTAATCTCATCATTATTGTTGTTAAGTATTTTTTAATCTAATTTTAATGTCAATGTCTAAATGATTTGCCCGGGCTGAGGTGCTCGACTCATGATTCGACCGAAACGGTCCA